ATAAAAAAAAGCAAAAAAATCCAAGAGGCCGATAGGGGCCACACCAGGCCGCTAAGGGTATATCCTAGATTTAAGAGAAAAATATGACCCGCCAGAGTCTTAATGAGGAATGTATGTAAGATAGAGATAAAGGGAAATCAGACAGTTTAATTAATGCTTGAAAAGCCCTCCCTTAGAAATATCCAAGAGAATATTGGATAGACACAGATCTCTCGGACTTTTAGAATTTGCGCTGTGTTGAAGAAAACGCACTGGAACATAAGAGCAAGACATTTGGGCCAAGTTAGGGTACAACTGCAAGGATGTGCAGAAAGATATTCTGTTTTCTCACTTGCAAAGAGACTCTAGCAAAGGATTGGCTGACACATCTCAAAAGTCTGGTTACTTGGCTGTGCAAAGAAAAAAGAAAGAGAGGGGGGACAATGAAAATTATGACATTGAGTTCGTCATGTCCTCTAGATATTTTGAGGAGCATAAGCTGAATAGTTGAAAAAGTAAATATATTTAAAGCCATGGGCAAGATAAAAGATTTTGGGAGAGGCCATTTCAGTACATACACGGTGACCTCTTCCCCACATTGCACCAAGGCACGGGTTGCTTCGCCATAAGTACAAACCACACTTGGCTGGATTCAGATGTCACACTACACACCATGATCAAACCGTAGCAGCCAGGCTTACACACTAGAGTGACCGGGATCACCAAGTGCTCCTCAAACAAAATCAAATAACTGAAGTCTGCTGGCACCTTGGAAATGCAGAATCCCCTTTTAAGAAAGAAGACATTGGATATAGGACCTGTGTCCAGATTAATATAGATAGGCCCATTTTTTTTCCAGACTCGGCAAGGAGAAAGTCCCATTGGAATCAGCAGGATGGACGTCTTAAAGGACTGCAGGATTTGGAGTAGAAAGCCCCCCTCCCCCCTGCAGTGCACGGAGTTCATCCCCAGCGAGGTAGCAATCGATCTGCAGCCAACTCATTCTTTTCTTGAATGTCGCCTGGCCAACAGATCCCGCTTAGATCAATGGGCTTCCTCTCAAGTAAATGCACGTAGATGGCCAGACCCCCACCCCAAAGCCTTCCAGTTTTTAAGCGCCAGGAGACTTGCGTTTCTTTCTTTCCTGGCGCCAAATCCAATTCGTTCCTGTTTTCGTGGTCGCGTTTGACATGTTTGCTTTGCAAAGCCACGCCGCTGGATCTCAGCTTCCCTCCCTCCGAGGCGCGCTTTAGTTGCTGCTTTCAAATTATCAGTCCTCCTCGCGACTTCTTCCGCAGGACTTTATTTTATTTCGCCTTCATAATATACAAGACGCGCCTTCCTTCCCTCCGCTCCGTTTTGGTGCCGTGTTTTTCCCTCCCACTCCCACCACCTTCCCGGATTACGTTTGGTAGGCAAAACTTTCTTTCGGCTTTAAACGGCGATTGTAGCCGACCGAAGGACGTTAGAAGGACGTAGCATGGGTCGTGAGAACCAGCCGCCACTTTCCCAGAAAAACTGATTTGTAAAAGCCCTGAAAACACACCAACCGGGAAAAAACCTCGGTCCGCCTTAAACCCCTTTAATGCCTGCGCAAAGCAACGGGGAGCCCCGGGGAGCTTCACCACTTTGCCCGGACCGTCCCAATTCTCTTTTTTTTCAACGCGTATCGTAAGGAAGTGTGCAGGAGGAGTCAATCTGGTTAACCTTATTTGGGAATGAAAACGCGCAGAATCGGGCCACCCGCAAGGGAACTCGCATGGTCCGACGACCCTCTAGCCCGAAACGACCTCGCACTTTCTCGTGTGTTGGGAAAACGGCCGCTTTGTGGACGCTTCCCTCGCCTGTCTAGAACGTGGGTGCTTGGAGAAGAGCCGCTTAGCTCCCAGCAAAACTTCAGCCCTGTTCACACAACCCAGCCCAACCCAAAGAGGTGATGCGGCTTCTTTTCCCATCTTAGCATTTTCTGACTGGGGGGTAGAGAGGTGAGATAGCATGAACGGCAGTGCTTACTTACGCGATTGTCTTTTCCAACCTCGTGTCTTTCTGAACCTCAGCCCGCTTCCTCCCACGCCGTTCACACAACCGTTTCCTGGCCTCGAGGAGGGGTTGGGCGGGACATGCTGGCAAAGCAGCCCCCCGTCCTGAGAGGGGAAGGGGAGGGAGGGGCCCCGATCCCGCTGGGACCCAGAAGTCTCTTTCTCAGCGGCGCCCGCCCGCCCGCCTTCCCTCCCGGCCTCGGCCACCAGCTCCAGTTCCGACGTTCCGCGCCCCCAGCGCCCTAAATGAGGTGCTGAGGCCCGCACAGCTCCCCGCCCTCGATGATGTCCACCTCGTCTTCGGGCTCGTCCAGCAGGAAGGCCGGCGCGGGGCCGCTCTGGCGGGCCTCAGAGGCCGAGGAGGCCGAGGCGGCGCTCGCTTGGCCCGGCGGGTCCAACTCCGGATCGCCGGGCGCCAGGTCCGCCCCCTCGGCCCCGGCCGCTTTGGCGTCGTCCTGGCTCTTCCGCAGCTGCTTTTTGTGCTTCATCCGCCGGTTCTGGAACCAGGTCTTCACCTGCGGGGAGAGCGGGAGAAGCGAGGGGGCAGTCGGACGGGAAGGGCCGTGGCGGTCTGTTCACACAGGTTCCCGCGGGGCGGGCGGGGCGGGGCGGGCGCATTTTTGTTAGAGGCTAGGCTGGGTTCGTGATAACTTTGGTTAGGGCTTCTACGGCCAGCTCAACTTGGTTGGGTTAGTTTGTGGTCCAAGTCAGGTCCTAGATTAAACGTGTTGTGTGAACCCACTTGTAGATACCCAAAGCACACCGGAATAACGGGCAGGCATTTTTTCTAACCTTCCTTCGAGGCGGGCGGGGCAGGGGAGCCTTATTTAAGTTCTTCTTATTTTCCGGTCCATACAAAGTGGGACCGTCCAGATGTTATTGGACTGTAGTTCCCATCGTCCCCCGCCGGCCAGCCCCCGGTCCTGGCATTGGAGTCCCGAATCTCTAGAGGGCGCAGCGCTGTCCCGCTCTGCCAGACAGCTGGGGAACAGAAGAGGCCGGCTGGCCTCCCCCGGAGTGGCCGCGTTTACACGTGTTCGTGCCAGCGCCTTGGCCGAGATTTGCCGCTAACTTCGATTTGTGGGTCAGGAGCGTGGAAGGGACAGGCCTACCGTTGCACTCGCAGCAGGGACCCAACTCGAGAAAAATGGAGGTTTGTCCAATCTTTCCTCTTGAACTCAGCAGAGGCCTTATGAACTTTTACACTCGGGAAACTGAGGCTGAACGAGAGAGACTCGCTCACTCAAGTCCACGCCAGGTTAGCTCTGCACTCCTTCATCTCAGACTTATTGGGGAGGAAGGAGCGGCAGAAAGCCTTCTTCACATGTTCAGGGGCGCTGTCGACTTTTCCATCGCCGTTTAATTCCTCAGATCCGGTGCCGTTTTTCTCGGAAGTAAATGGTGGGTACCGGGTGCCTTCAACTGCAGTCTCCTTCCTTCTCCTTCCCCCGGGAACGTGGAAAGAAGAGGTAAGGGCGCAGCCTTTGACAAACTTTAATTAGTCCCACTGAAATTCATCGATTTACTTCTAAGCAAACACGTGCAACCTTAGATGCTTTGCCCGGTCCTATTACATACATACCCTAGTAGGATCCTTCCTCCTACTTATATATAGAGGAACTTATATAGAGAGGAAGACTAGAGACTTATATATAGAAGGATATATATATACTAT